CCTTTAACATGTGCGCGCACTGTAATTTGTGGTGGGAATTTTACCTTTTTAGGCACGGTCTTTCTTTTAAAAATAATGACAGGCCGTAGCTTAGTTCCATTAGCCAAACATGACAGAACAACTGTGAAATTGTTTTTTTTATTTCCTGTGGTTCTGAGTAAAATAGTTTTGTCCCCCAAACTTGCCACAGTTCTGTTGCTTGGAAGATCATAGGTGTTTCATCCATATTCCCAATATCTCCCAGGTCATAGTTATGGATCCTTCTTTGTTTTATGATGAATGAATGGAATTACATCAATTTTTCATCAAGGTCTTTTGGCAACTTCTGTGAAATCTTTGTTCTTTGCCGCAAACATAGGGCAAACCTATCCATGAAGCGGGTACATCATCCTGCTGATGCAACAAAATTTTCAATGCCTTGTGCTTTTAATTTGTCATCTTTAGCCATTTGAAGGGCACGTAAGCGAATTCCCATGCGTGTTACGCAGTAACCATTTTGACGACACTCCATAAGCCATTTATGCAATTCAGTCTCTAGAGCCCCATATGAAGTCATTAAACCATGTCGAGCTTTTTTTGCCTTTGGAATCTTTTCCAAGTCAACTTTCATTTTCCGCCAATCCCTCACTTGTTTTTCGCCAACACAAAATTCCCTACTTGCAATACTGTTATTGCTTTCTTCTGCTCTTGACACAACCTTGAGCTTGAAACCAGCACTGTATGACCTGCGTTTTTGTTTTGGTCCGGGATTAGAAGCATTGGGATCCATTCCTAACAGGATTAAAAAAAAGACTTTGAAAAAGAATGCCAACTATGTTTCCAAGAGCAGCCTGTGTTGGGGCTCATACTATACACGCAATGTTACTGCATGGGCTGCGTTACGGCCGACGTGCAGGAGAAAAGAAGAGCAGTGATATCAACCCACAGAGGCTGCAGAGGATGAGCAGGAGAGACCGGAGAACACCCGCACTGCACCGGAGAACCGGTAAGTGGGACCAGTGGCCCCTCCCTTCCTCCTTCTTACCCCCGACAGACAGTAACAAACACACATACATACAGAGACACACACAGACAGACAGACAGGCGCACATACATACAGACACACATACAAAGACACATACATACAGACAGATAGACACAGACACACACAAGCCATACATACAAAGACACATACAAACAGAAAGGCACACATACATATTACAGACAGACACATACATATAAACACACACACTCACATACACACACACTTAATATTAAGTATACCGTAGATAATATTTAAGTCACCCTCCTGTTGCCTATCTTTTAGGTGCAAGAGGGTGACTCAGGTTGATGGGAGTCTGACTCCCAATGTGTGCATTATATACACACTCTGTATTATATGCACACACACTCTGCATTTTAGGTGCAAGAGGGTGACTTGAGTCAGAGTGTGTGCATTATATACACACACTGTATATAATGCAGAGTGTGTGTGTGTACATAATGCACACACTCTGTATTATATACAGGGAGTTAGAAAAGGGAGTCAGACTCCTATCAACTGGGCATTTATATTATATTATTATTTATTTTATTTTAATATTTTAATATTTTTTTAAACTTTTTTTTTTTTGTCCACCCCCTCCCTACTTCATACTTGGCCAGGGAGGGGGTGCTGTGCAGGGGGAGGGGCGGAAGCGATTACCGGTACTTAGTATTACCTGGGTAAATATCGCGGCCTGCTCCCTGGGTAAATCTCGCGGCCTGCGTGTCTCGCGAAATTTACACTGGGAGCTTAACATCGGAGCCGCATGGAGGTGCTGGGAGCTGACCGGAGCTGCTGTAAAGGTAAGTAACAGCTTGCTCTGGCCCCCAACATGTCATGGTCTGTATTATGGCAATGTAAGTTGCCATAATACAGACCTTGACTCGAGTATAAGACGAGGGGGCTTTTTGAGCACAAAAAAAGTGCAGAAAAACTCGTCTTATACGCGAGAATATATACGGTATGTAACGTCATACAAAGTGTATTTTAATACTAATATAAGTACATATATTAGTATTAAAATACACTTAGAATGACGTTACATATATATAATATATATATATACACATATATTATATATATATATATATATACGTATAATTACAATAATAAATAAATAAAATAAATAAATAAAATATTGAAACAAAATTTAATATAAATTATATGTTCATATTTAATTTCATTCTAACTGTATTTTGTTATTAATATATATATATATATATATATATATATATATATATATATTGGTAACAAAATACACTTAGAATGACATTCTATATATAGATATATATATATCTATCTATATATAAAATACAAATAACCGCAAATATATATATATATATAGATAAATACATATAATTACATAAAAGATTACATTATTATACACGTAGAATTTAAATACCTATAAATGCATATATATTAAAATTCTACATGTATATTTAAGTAATCTTTTAACATAATTATGTGATTTGATTAATTAAAATGTGATTGATATGCCTGACAACACAGGGAGAAAGTGCAGAGAATTTAATTTGCAAGCACTATATTTGACCCTGTAACTCTCCAAGACACCATAAAACCTGTACATAGGAGTACTGTTTTACTCAGGAGACTTCGCTGAACTCAAATATTAGTGTTTCAAACTGGTAAATTGTATTACAACAATATTTCAAGTAAAAGTGAAGTTTTCTGCATTTTTTACAAACGAACAGCAATTTTATGGACTATATTAATGTTGTAATATGTTTTACTCTTTTAAAACACTAATATTTGTGTTTAGTGAAGTCTCCCGAGAATAACAGTACCACCTGTGGCGAAACCGGCCTCGCCACGTGTCCTTGGAGGGGGCTGCTTGCCCGCCTCTTGCTTTGGACTATGGACCAGACTTTATGTGAATGTGTTAACCCAGATAGCTATGCCATGGAGCCCATTCGTGTAGTTAAAGACTTCGGCTCCATGGCAATTGAACTGTGTGAATAGGATCTGAGCGCTATTTGGTAGTTTTGTGCGCTCAGATCCCAGCTATCTGGGGATATGTGAAATGTCTGTGTTTTATGTATAAAAGGTGACTTTATGTATTTTAAAGTGTTTTGTGTCTTTTTGCAACCATGTGCTTAATGGAGTCTTGTGTTTGTCCTGGGAGATAATTGAATTACTTACCTCCAGGATAGAAGACTCTGAAACTGGTTTTGGCCAGAAAGCCATGCTTCATTTAGTCACAAAGGACTTTCCCTTAACTTTTGAACCCCTGGTCTGATTCGTGCCATTTTTTAATATGTTGTTCCCCTGAATGGATTGATTATGAAAATGTATGTTTTATGTTTGTGACATTTATATTTTAGGAGTTATAAATATTGTGTAAAAACTGTATTCCTCTGCCGGTGATAATGAGATTACCCATTGTGTTCAATAATCATATCACCTGCAGAGGGGAGGATTTTGTGTGGGAGTGTCTGGGTGTATTGTACGGATTGATTGGTTGTTTTGTAACGCCCTGTGGGCTGTACTATGTTTGTGGATTGGGAATAAAAGAGACAGTATGTGACAGTACAGGGAGTTCCTGTTTAACCCTCAAAGTGAAGTGTCGTCTCATTATTGGGGGAAGGATTTATTGTATGCTGTTCCAGTTTGACTGCTAGGAGAGTAAACCTATTCGTATGGTTCCTATTCAACTGTCTACAACATTCATATGCTTGAGAGGATTCATATGCTTCTCCGGTTCGGTGGTTGTGGTGTCTGCTGCAGTGCTTGGAGTCCTCAGGAAGCGCTAGGAGCATCCTTCAACGGAGGTACCCAGTCGGGGGTGCCAGGCGATCCGTTACATTGGTGGCAGCGGTGGGATGGCGTCCTAGTGCGAGGTAAAGCAGCTCAGAGACACAGTCGTTTGGATTTACAAATTGAAGGCGACGCTAGTGTTTATACAGCGTCCCTGTCTACATAAAGATTTGGGAAAATGGGGTTTGTGGATCCTTGGGCAACACGCACACCTGAGGAAGAGAGTGAATTGGAATGGAGAGATATTGCCCGGCAAGAACTATGGTACGATGCCCTGGAGGAAGTCCAGTATCAATGGCAGCAGCGCCTTCCTGGTGTCGCATACCAGTTGGAGGAACAAATGGCCTGTCGGATGCCGCTTCTGGGAGACCAACCCGGAGGGCAGCAGGTCAGACAACTTGAGTACCTCGTGGAAAGGGAACTGAGCCTTGACGCCTCATACCGGGCACTGTAGTGGTGCACTGTCCAGCCAGAGACGTGGAGGGCAGAGGGCATCCAGCCAGAGGGGGAGAACTACACTAGCCCTGGCCTGTTGTGGAAGGCCTTAGCAGAAGACGTCGACTTTGGCAGTCCAGCAGAGTCACGGTACTGGGCTATCTTTTATTACCGAGGTGAGATGGTACAGGGCCCGAGATCTATGGGACTGGGACAAGACCTCCACCGTTTGGCTGCCATGGAACGACAGCTAGAGATGGACTATGTGGAACTACTAAACTCATGTCAGCCACAGGGCATGGACACAGAACAGGAAAACTGGCTGGGGGACCCAGACCTGCCAACCTACAGCTGGGAAAACGCAGCCGAGGTACCTCCTGCTTCACTACCAGCTGCAGAAGTAGGGGACCTCATAGACTGGTCCTGGGAAGACCCACCGATGGCAGGTAGAGATGGGACGGCTGTCTCTCTACCAGCCTTACAGGGATGCTGGGCAGTCGGCCCAGATCCCCAGTGGCAGGGTGAAGTGCAGGGAGTGGAGAACCTCGTCTCCCCTCCCCAGCGGCAGTGTGTATCCCAGGGAGCTGAAGGTGTCGTCCTTCCTCCCCAGCGGCAGTGTGTACCCCAGGGAGCAGAAGGTGCTGTCCTTCCTCCCCAGCGGCAGTGTGAGTCCCAGGGAGCTGAAGGTGCGGTCCTTCCTCCCCAACGGCAGTATGTTTCCCAGGGAATGGAAGGTGCAGTCCTTCCTCCCCAGTGGCAGTGTGTCCTGCAGGAAGTGGAGACAGTCTGTCTTTCTCCCCAGCAGCAGGACAAAATATTGAAAGGAGAGACAGTTGGTCCCCCTCTCCACCAGCAAAGAGAGTGTCAGGGAGAGGAGCAGGTTACCCCCTCTCCCCAGCGGCAGTCTACAGTTCAGAGAGAGGAGCTTGTTACACCCTCTCTCCAGTGGCAGCCTAACCCACCAAGGGGAGATGTTAAGCCCCACAACTATGCAGATGGGACCGTAGTCTCTGCACTTGCAGCACCAGGGGTAGGGACGGTCAGTCCTGTCCCCCAGCCACAGAGCAGTGTATCCAGAGGGGAGACAGTCGGTCTCCCCCTCCTACAACCAGGCTCCAACCAGGCTACTTCAGTGGTAGCGCTGGCACCCGGGCAGAGTACCGCTGGTCTCTGCCCACTCAGCAACCCACCAAGGCAGTCTACCAGCCCCCCGCACAGCCGTGGTGAGGCATCTGGACATGGACAAGTTGCTATTTTATCCAGGTGTAGTAACCAGTTATTGTGGGTGGGCTGTATTGCTGTTTGTGCTTCATGGGTGGGTTGCTGGACTAACCAGGGCACTGACCGGCAGGAGGTCAGATACCCTGTTAGTCTGGATGGTAAAGGGGAGAAATGTGGCGAAACCGACCGCGCCACGTGTCCTTGGAGGGGGCTGCTTGCCCGCCTCTTGCCTTTGGACTATGGACCAGACTTTATGTGAATGTGTTAACCCAGATAGCTATGCCATGGAGCCCATTCGTGTAGTTAAAGACTTGCTCCATGGCAATTGAACTGTGTGAATAGGATCTGAGCGCTATTTGGTAGTTTTGTGCGCTCAGATCCCAGCTATCTGGGGATATGTGAAATGTCTGTGTTTTATGTATAAAAGGTGACTTTATGTATTTTAAAGTGTTTTGTGTCTTTTTGCAACCATGTGCTTAATGGAGTCTTGTGTCTGTCCTGGGAGATAATTGAATTACTTATCTCCAGGATAGAAGACTCTGAAACTGGTTTGGGCCGGAAAGCCATGCTTCATTTAGTCACAAAGGACTTTCCCTTAACTTTTGAACCCCTGGTCTGATTCGTGCCATTTTTTAATATGTTGTTCCCCTGAATGGATTGATTATGAAAATGTATGTTTTATGTTTGTGACATTTATATTTTAGGAGTTATAAATATTGTGTAAAAACTGTATTCCTCTGCCGGTGATAATGAGATTACCCATTGTGTTCAGTAATCATATCACATGCAGAGGGAAGGATTTTGTGTGGGAGTGTCTGGGTGTATTGTACGGATTGATTGGTTGTTTTGTAACGCCCTGTGGGCTGTACTATGTTTGTGGATTGGGAATAAAAGAGACTGTATGTGACAGTACAGGGAGTTCCTGTTTTAACCCTCAAAGTGAAGTGTCGTCTCATTATTGGGGGAAGGATTTATTGTATGCTGTTCCAGTTTGACTGCTAGGAGAGTAAACCTATTCGTATGGTTCCTATTCAACTGTCTACAGCATTCAAATGCTTGGGAGAATTTATTTGTTTCTCCGGTTGTGATTGTGGTGTCTGCCAGAGTGCTTGGAGTCCTCAGGAAGCTAGGAGCATCCTTCAACGGAGGTACCCAGTCAGGGTGCCAGGCGATCCGTTACACCACCCCCCATGTACAGGTTTTATTGTGTTTTGGAAAGTTAGAGAGTCACATATAAGGCTTGCATTTCATTTTTTGACATTGAAATTTGCCAGATTGGTTATGTTGCCTTTGAGAGCGTATGGTAGCCCAGGAATGAGAATTACCCCCATGATGGCATACCATTTGCAAAAGTAGACAACCCAAGGTATTGCAAGTGGGGTACACCAGTCTTTCTTAGTAGCCACTTAGTCAGAAATACTGGCCAAACATTAGTTTTTTGCTTTTTTCACACAAAAACAAATATGAACGCTAACTTTGGCCAGTGTTTGTGACTAAGTGGCTACTAAAAAAGACTAAACATACCCCACTTTCAATACCTTGGGTTGTCTACTTTTTCAAATGGTATGCCATTATGGGGGTAATTCTCATTCCTGGGCTACCACACCGTCTCAAAGGTAACATTACTAATCTGGCAAATTTCAATGTGTAAATGGAACGTTCTATATTTGACCCTGTAACTTTCCAAAACACCATAAAACCTGTTAATGGGGGGTACTGTTGTACTCATGAGACATCGATGTTTACAAATATGTGCATTTTTTTGCAGTAAAACCTAACAGTATTATGACATTCACAGCTAAAATGTCAGATGGAAATACAAATTTTAAAAAACAAATCTTATTTTCTCACATTTTTTTAAGTTTTATTCATAATACATTATGTTCCATATATGAATAGTTAATAATAAATTAAAGCCCTGTTTCTCCTGAACAAAATGATATATACTAAGTGTGGGTGCACTTAATGTGACAGCGGTGAATAACGGTTGAACAGACATATAGCGCAAATTCCAGTTTTTGTTTACGTTTTGTTTTGATCAGAACGTGCACTATTGACTCCGTCCAGAAGGGGTTAAACACAATAGCATAGTCATCTTATTGTTTTCAATGTGATTTAAAGTTTCCTAAAACAAAACGTTTATCGAAGAATCTACAGGTTATTTCTCTACTCTGTTACATTTCTTATGTCCCTGATTATTAATAACTACTTAGAGAACAAAACATTTAGTTGCATTGAACGTTGGTAGTCAATAGCATGAAAAGATTTCTAAAGACAAAGAACAAAACAACTGCCTATTAAACTTTAATAGCAGACCTCGGTGGTTGATCTTCTTGATAGTGCGCAATAAATAAAATTGCTCTTTTATATGTAATGCCCCTGAGGCTCATCAACTTTGAAATCTTTTCATTTATAAAATATTTTTATTGATAATACTGTATTATTATTTTTTTTATAGAAGTTTGCTAATTTGACCTTTCATAATTAAACTGCTTGAATACTTTAAGCACATCTTTTCCCATTTATTCCTTTGTGTTAACGCTGTGACAGCAAATGCAAGATGATTAATCACACTGGAGAATTTTCTTAGGAAGCTCGTATTTAGACAAATCCCATCAATAAATGTTCCACCAATTTAGAATGTCTTCCTGCACTGTCGGGCATCTGGTATCTGCAGTTTTGTGTCCATTACAACTGGAAAAGGACACAGTGTAGATTAGAATGGAATTTCGGATAGGAATAGAAAAATTGTTAAAACCGGAACACAGCCTCCCCCAATCCCCACTCCCACACCCTCCAAATAAAAATAACAAAATACTTGAAAATGCATTTAAAACTTCCATTATCAAACATAGTCAACTGATGTCTTTGAATCTTCATAATCTGTTAATGGATATAAGCTTTTATATATATTTATATATATATATATATATATATATATATATATTTGTTTTGTTTTCTTTTCTTTAGCCTATTGCAGTGATGGCTAACCTTGACCATAAATTGTTTCTGGACTACATTTCCCATGATGCTCAGCTAGCTTTTAGAGTCTAAAAGTTAACTGAGCATCATGGGAAATGTAGTCCAGAAGCAATTTATGGTGTCAAGGTTAGCCATCACTGGCCTATTGCATCTACTGGTTCCCATCTACACCTACTAGTAGATCAAGCTCATTTTATATATTGCAATACTGGGCAGAGACCGGAAACACCGTCAAATATAACAGCTTATATGATTATATCAAGATCACACAGTACAGAATGAGATACACTGATTAGCCACATTAAAACCATTGCCAGAGGACGTGACTATATTGATTATATCATTACAATGGCACCAAGGGGTGGGATATATTAGGCAGCAAGTGAACAGTAAGTTTTTGAATTTCATATGTTGGAAGCAGGAAAAATGGGCAACTGAGTGAGTTTGACAAGTGCCAAATCGTGATGACCTGATGACTGGGTCAGAACATCTCCAAAAGGGGAAGTATTGCAATGGTTAGTACTACCAAAAGTGGTGCAAAGAAGAATAGTTGGTGAAGCGGTGTTGATATGTACCACTTACCTAGAGATTATTGCAGATCACGTATACCCTTTTATGACAATTGTATTAATTTATGGTAGAGGTCTCTTTCAGCAGGATAATGCACCCTGCCATACTGTAAAAACTGTTCCGGAATGGTTTGAGGAACATGACAAAGAGTTCAAAGTGTTGGCTTGGCCTTCAAATTCATTAAATCTCAATACAATTGAGCATATGTGGTATGTGCTGGAATTACAAATCCAATCCATGAAAGCTCCACCTTGCAACTTCTAGGACTTAAAGGATCTACTGCTAATGTCTTAATGCCAGATACCACAGGACACCTTTAGAGGTCTTGTGGAATCCATGCCTTGATGCATCAGACTTGTGTTGGGAACTTTACGATATTAGGCAGCCGATTTCAATGTTGTGGCTGATCAGTGTATTCCTGTTTAGTTACATCACTTTTGTCTTTGTTTTTCCTCTTCAAGATCAAACAAGAAAACAATGGGCCACATTTATCATGCCTATATAGAAACATAGAAACATAGAATGTGACAGCAGTTAAGAACCATTTGGCCCATCTAGTCTGCGTAATTTTCGAAATACTTTCATTAGTCCCTGGCTTTATCTTATAGCTAGGATAGCCTTATGCCTATCCCACACATGCCTTAACTCCCTCACTGTGTTAACCTCTACCACTTCAGCTGGAAGGCTATTCCATGCATCCACTACCCTCTCAGTAAAGTAATACTTCCTGATATTATTTTTAAAAGGAATTGAAAGTTCCTGAGGTCTCTTAGTCCTGCCAGTTACTCAAAGTCCTCCACACTATATGAAATCACTGCAAGGAGAACTTGTACACATGAAATAGCAAAGATCCATATACAATGCTTTCCCAATAATGCCAATGTTAATTTGTGCTAACACCATAAATCATAAATATATATTTACACTCACATATATTTATACTTGTGTGATGAGGATTGTTTGTCACTATGTTGAAAGCATAATAAAAGCACATCACAGCTTATCACATGCATAATACAGGCACATCACACCTTATGACAAGCACAACACAGGCCAGTACACCTAATTGCAAGCACAACATAGATAAATCATACCTTTTTACAAGCATAACACTGGGCGATCACGCCATATCAATGCCAGACTGGTGACAAAAACTGGAAAAAGTGTTATACCAACTCACAGGACTTGCCCCAGGACTTACCCCAGCACAGAGATTGCAATCACAGGACTTTGCCCCAGCACTTACCCCAGCACAGAGATTGCACTCACAGGACTTGCCCCAGCACTTACCCCAGCACAGAGATTGCACTCACAGGACTTGCCCCAGCACTGAGAATCCCCTTATAGGACTTGCCCCAGCACCCAGGACTTACCCAGGCATTTAGATTTCAAACAGCTCCTGCATGCATAATACAGAAGAAAAAGATGCCAGATATCAGATTTCCGGTGGCAAAAAAGGCAACATCACATTGGCCGAGAGAGTGCTCTCTCACACATTTGCAGCCGCAT